GGCCGAAGCGTCTCTCCGTCATAACTCTTGCCCTGCCCACTCGTGCGCCGACGAAAGCCCGTCCCCCGCAGCGGCCCAGGCGCGCCGCGAAAAGGGTCCGGCCGGAAACAGGAGCCGGGCAGGAAGGGGCCGGGGGGGGGGCAGCGCTGTCCCAGCAGCGCGGTGCTGAACGCCACGAGTGGGGTTCCCACCGCCCTCAGCCGCCTCCTTGCCCGGGCCAGGATCCCACGAAGCCCGTCTGCAAAGCGGGGAGAGATCCAGGGGATCCCAGAGGTGCAGAGAGACCAGCCGTGCCAGGCCCACCTGCCCCCACAGCGGCGGAAACGCTGGCGCAGCGACTGGCACCAAAACGAAACAAGTCCGGTCTCAAACGGCGCTGAAAAGTCGCATCTCCACGGCCCGGGAGGCTCGACGGGCAGGGCCCGAGCCGGGGCGCGCCTGCAGGCCTCGTTGCTCCGCCGGGACCGCCGCCGAGGGCCAAGGGGGCACTGCCAGTGCCTTCTGAAAAGCACTCCTCGACCCAACCGGCACATCGCCGACCGACTGGAGCCGAAGGGGCAGCTCGCATCTTTAGGACGCTGACAATCCAGGGCTCTGCCTTCTCCGCGGAAAGCTGCCGGACCCACCGTGCCCCTGGGAACGCCCTGCGCTAAGGAACAGGCGGAGAAAGCCCGAGGAGCCCGAACTTCAGAAGCTGGACTCGGGCAACCCCCTGGGCCAGGAGACAATTTGACACAAGTGCTTAGAGAGCAGACAGAGGCAGGGCAGATCTGAGCCGGTGGCAGAGCCAGAGGAGGCACTCACTTCCTCTCCCCCGCCCGGCTGAACCCTGCATCCAGAAGCAGCAATGAGGAAGAGTCAACGCACGAAGGATCAGAGACCCTCCCCCCACCCCGGGTAGCGGAGCCAAAGACCGGCTAAGCTGCAGAAGAGAAGCCTTTCCATGCACAGCAACCACCACAGGACTCGTTCAGGAGCATGAATATTTATTAAACAATGCTTCAGGCTCTGACCTACAAAACAGCATTCTTGTGCCAGAAAGAGAGGGGTGGCGTACAAAGAACGAGCGTGATACAGGAGAGCCTAGCGCAGTTCTGCGGGTGGTACGTACTGCACGCGCAGCCCACTGGCTGCCAGAGCTCAGCACCCCTTTGCCACCGAGAAAAAGTCCATGAACTGCAAGGTTAAAAAAAAAAGCCGCAGTGTCACCGAGCCGCTGCTTGGCAGATTCGTATCAAAAGAGAGCGACCCAGAGAGCCGGTGGCCGCTACGCAAGAGTAGTTAAGTAGGAGAGCCAGGCCCCGCTTCACTCGTCGCGGGTTTTAATACATTAGTTCGGCATTTTAGTTCACAAATAAACAGAAAGCCCAATGCATTGGGCTGCACCCGAGCTGCGAATGGTCGGAGCTCCATGGGATGCAGGAGAAACTGCCCAACAGCACCGAGTGCTCCGCACAGAGGAGAGGCCAAAGACTAAGACTCTCAAAGGGAAACATGGTACTTTACTTGGCCAGGCCCCTCCGCGGCTGGTGAGAGTCTGCGGAGGCAATTCCCCAGGAGCAGAGCCAGGACCGACTGGCCGGTGCCACGGGCTGTATTGGAAACTGCATCACGGCCCTTTCCTAGAAAGGGGTTCTCTCTGGTAGGGGAGGGAAGAGGCAGATCGAAGCTAAAAACAGTCTTAAAATTGTCAAGTCGGCCCTCAAACATACCCTCCCCGCAGAGCTGGATACCGGCTGTACGACACGGAGTTTGACGTCTCCTTTAAGTAACCGCCAAACGGCACGGGGAAATAAATATGGAGACAAGACAGACCCGGAGGGAAAGACACACAACTCAGAGCAGGAAAATCATTCCAAGAATGGGAAAGAGAGCGCAGCCCTGCCTGGGCAATGCTAGCATTACCACCGCCCCACGACTGGGCTCAAGGATGGCCGAGCTGTCCTGAAGGCTGTTCCTGACAAAGCAGCGCAGTCTGCCTTGCTATAGAAACTGGCTGTGTTTTGAGGTGTCTATAAAATCCTCTCCCCAGTCAGAGCACTCCTAGAGAGCTGCCCCCAAAGTGGGATGGAGTCACTTGGAAACTAAATCCACACCTGCCCCCAAGCCCCAGAGCCTGGTGGCTCCTAGTCTGAACATTGCTTCCATTTCTTGCTGCCTTGTGAGAGCACCACGGAGACAGGGGAAAGCCTGCTCTACAAAGGGACAGGAGAAGGACCGGCCACACGAAACCCCCAGATCCACAAAGGAAAATAAACAGCGTCAAACCTCCCTCCCATTCCTCAGCAGAAATCGAAGACATGAGTTGCAAACACATCTCCGCACAGAACGAGGAGATGCAACTTGATGGCACCTTTAAAACAATCCAGAAAATGACCCTTAAACTGCAATGGAGAAACCGTCGGTGGAACAGTCACCAGGAGTTTTGGCAGCTCTCATGAATTTAAAATTGTGGAGACCAGTTCAAGCTCGAAGTGGTAACACCCCCAAAAGGCTGCAGTACAGTTGCCACCTACGAGAACTCGAGACTCTCAGCTAGGAACAGAGGAATCTGCTAGCTTAATTTCCATGCCTGAGCTGCCCCGGACACAGGACGGATGGAGAGGCAGCATGGCGCAAAGGAGACCAGAATGTCCAGAAATATCCAGTGAAGGGGACTGCAGGGAACAGACGGAGAAATGGGTTTCTAGGAGCCACAGCCTTCCACCTGCCAGCTCGTTATTCATTACAACAGGAACAAGCCAAGGCTCTCCCTGCCCTGCTGCGGCAGAAAGCACCAAGGAGGAAACATTCCAGCAGCAAAACAAGCATCTAAAAGGGGAGGACGGAAGGTAAAAGCCCAGGAAAGGCTGGAGGGTGTTGCCAGCCTCTGGTGTGGGCTCCTGCAGCAGGCAACCCGGGCACTATCAATCCCAGGATGAAAACCTGAAGGAAGAGCCTGTGCCAGGCAGTCGGCACCTGCGGCTTAGGGCTCTGCTCCGTGGACAAAAGGGATGACAAAGCCGAGTGTCCAAGTAGTTTATTCTCTGTGAGATACACTGACCGCGTGGCCATGTTAAAAAGGAGTGCTTACAAACCTCTGTTTCCTAGTCAAGTATTTGCAAACATCTCCCCTCCCTCCCTCCCTCCAACAGGCTCCCGAACCCCACAGGGCACCTTCCAGCACTGCCTTTACACCCCCCCACCCCCATATTCCATGTTGTCACTCCCAGCTTTATAAAATCCCTTCCTAGAGACTCTTCAAGGGACTCACTAATCCCTGGGAGTCACCCCACAGCTGGACTATTAGTAGGGCTGGTGACTCTAGAGGTGCCGGGGCAAGTTATGCTCATCTCCTCCCCTTCTCATGCATCCCACGCTGGGGCACGACTGTTCCTTGCCAGTCCCTCAGCCCAGGCAGTGATCACTCAGTATCTCACAGACACAAACAGCAGTTTTATTCCCCCATTCATAACCCCAAGCAGTAGGGGTCTGGAGTCCCTGTAAAATCGGCTTCGTCTCCCTTCCCTCGCTACCCCCAAAGCCCCGGTCTCCTAATCGCTCACATGCAGAGACAACAACAAAAAAACCCCTAACAACTGTTAAAAATAGATAAGAGGACACCAGTGTTCCTCCTTCCCCCTCTCCCGCCCCCTCCCCACCCCCACTAGCTCACAGAGAGAGTTACAAAGATAGAGCCATGATTTCTTCCTTTCTTTACACACTAGACAGACTGTGTCATCACTGGCAAAAAAAAATAAACTGGAAAGTGTATCAAAAGATGCTCAGTATGAAGTAGTCACAGAGAGTGGTCTTGCGCTATGCAGCCTGCCCCCAAAACACACGCACTTTCACAAAAGCCTTTCAGAGGTATCCGCTGACATCGCCCCACGTTAACAAACAGTGCCGACGACATTGCTACCGACCTGAATGACAAATGCAGGGAACTTGACTGACGGGCCCCAGCGCCTGGGTGCGAGGAGGTGACGACCACCCAGGGGCTGGGTTAGAACATCAGCTTCTTTTAGCTGCAATGGAAGGATTTAAAGAGGGGACTCGAAAGCTCCCTTGAAGGAGAAGGGAGACGAGGAGGGTGAAGACTTCTGACACCGGAGAGCACCTCATCCTTAGGAATGGGTTAGCACCCCCCCAGGGAACAAGGTCATTTTCAGAGTTTTCTAGAAAAGGCGATGGATGCTGGTTTGTGGTTGCACCATGCTGGATCTTCCAGAAGGGGGAAGGGAAGGATTTGGAGGCAGGAGCAAAGACACAAGGGAGAAAACGAGAATCCGGCTCTAACATGCAGGCGCAGGGGGACCGGCCTTCCTTTGTTTGCTTGTTTGTTTTCCTCTTGGACGTTTCCGACTTGAGAAATGGCAACACACACATGGCTTCCAGTTTTGGTAGAAGGACAGAATTCCCACGGGCGGCACTGCGGAGACAGGGAGACAAAGCGACTTACGGGGCTGCCTTCTTTTAAAGCATCCCCTTTCAGTTCAATTAAAATGTCAATTTAGGTTAAAAAAACAACATTTCTAGATTTTTTTCACGTTAAAACTGAATTACACTTTAATTGCCTCTTACATTCAATTAGTGATCCCCCTGCACTGCAGATAGCAAGGCCTCCTCTGTCTGCTGGCCAGCAAAGGGTGTGTAAACAAGCTGTGCATCAATAATCTTCCACGCACTTCACAATGCCAACCCTCCACCCCTCTCCAAGGCCCGGGGATGTGGGGACCATTTGACAAGTGGGCAAAGACAGAGAACAGGGCAAGTCAATTGTCCAAAGACCCAAGGCAGCTCTTCCACAGCCCAGGACAGAAGCCTGCATTGAGCCTGGGTGCACTGGAGCGCAGGGCTCTGAACTTAATCACACCTGGTACGTTCATTCCGGCTGATCGTCATTGCTGGCACTAGGGGTTCGACTCCTGATCTGGCTTCGTAACTGTTCTATTAGCTCTGGGTTCTGCTGCTGCATCTGCTGAGCAAACTGCTGGCCTCTGGAAAGAGAAAACACCACACAACTCAGGACTGCCTGGAGCGCAAAAGGGCAAAAGACCCCAGGCAGCAGAACCACAGCCTGCCCGATACGAGCAGTGGGAGAAAGGCTACTGGGAAGCAGCCGTGAGGTGGCCTCTGCTGAAGGTGCTCAATTATCAAATGATGCTTTGACGTTTGATTGAGGCACCCGAAACGCATGCAGGTGATGGGAGGGGAACGAAAGCCTTTTGTTCTACTCACGCTTGGATAAGGCTGGCGAGGTCGTTTGCCGAAGGGCTGGTGCCCGTGGCACCCACAGGGTTATGGCCACCAGAAATCATCCCAGACATGCTGCAAAAAATCATCGATTGCTCAGAATAAAAGAAGAGAGATGTCACTGAGCCTGGGGAGGGACGAGGACAGTGAGTTATCATGTATTAGCTTCATGACTGAGAGGAGAAATGACTTGCTGGCTAGGGATTAATTGTAACAAGGTCCCCAGAATCCTAGGCAAGGTATTTCTACAGCAGCATGAAAAGCCAGGATCTCTGGTAGGATTAGCAGAGTCACATCCCTCATCCTTATTTCTACTGCTGAA